CAAGTAAGTGCTTTAATTGATTTATTGATATTATAATATATAAATCATGTCTAGGTTGTTATTGTGATTCCTAGTATTATGTTACGATGCTTGATGTTTAGAATGACAACAATAAATTCCTAGAATCATGTTTAGGGTAAAGAATATAATGTCAATTATGATTTCTATGATGCTTCTTATTTTCTTTCCTAATATTCATGTTAGTATCATGTTAGGGCTAAAGCTTTGATTTTTATTGCTTAGTGACATGTTAGGGTTTGTTATTAATCTTGTTAGTATCATGCCTAGGATCTTGCTATTATTATTATCATGCTTTAACATGATTATGTTAATTATGATTATAATTGTTATAATTTATGATCATGATTATTTTAATTATTATTATTATTATGGTTATAATTATTATGATGATTATATATTATGTTGCTTGATATATATTTATTTTTATTGTTTGATCACGCTTTTTATGCATGTTTAAAGGAAATTTGTACTTGTAATCACACTTAATAAGATAATTAATAATCTTGTTTAGGGTTAATATGATTATAAAATTCAAGTGATCGCCAATAATAGATTTATTTGTGCATTAAATTCAACCAACATAGATAAACAGGTTTAGGGTTAATCCTATTGATTGTATGTTAGTCAGAAAGCGCACATGAATACGATCAGAATAAAGTAGAGGCCTATTATTAGGGCAGATTCAATCTCTTTTAGGTTGGATTTGTACCTTTATCCCCGAACCCTATTTGGTTCAAGACCTTATGGAGTTGACGATCTCTTGGATCGTTAAGGGTGTAACCTTCACCTCGTGAACGGTTTACAAGTTCCTAAAAAAACATGTTGGCGACTCTTTTGCTCTATCTTCTTTCCCTTTGGACGCCACCGTACTTTAGTGTATGATCACAGTGGGGTTGAAGCTAGGGGATTAATGCTTGAAATATTCCCCACACTAAGGGAGAAATAAATCTACAAGTTTAGAATCAAATGTTGCTACTACAAAGGTAGAATCTACAAGTTTAGAAGCAAAAGTTGCAGCTTTACAAGTAAAAGCTTATTTTCACCCTACCTAGTCACTGGCTAGAATTATAATAAATGTTAGTTATTCTTGCCATTTTCGAAATACCATTCAATGTTAGTAATGAATATGCATTGAAGATTCAAAAACATGGATTAAATGTTATTATATGCTTTATTGAGTCACAATGTGTTTTGAAAAAGCTAAATACGTTTAAAGTTCTATATGTATGAATTATCTCTATATGTTAAATTATTTGAATGAAAATGAACATTTGATGAGGAAGATCCAAAAGGATGGACTTTCAATATCATTAGATTATGAATCTATTGATATACGTGAACTTCATTCTAATTTGAAAATTTTGACAAACTCACCATTTAGAGAAATGATGATACGAACTCGAGGTTGAATACATACCGATATAAGAAAATCTAAGGTTCACAAGCTAGAGACGGACAATGAAACTTCATTTGTGATATGATCACTTATGCTTAGTTGAAGGCTAAAGCGTGAAGATTTTGAAAAGGTCAAAAGGTTCAGTATAAAGTTTAGTATAAACTTGACAAATAATGATTACATTACAATATGATAGTAATTGTGAAAGTTTGAGTCAGGATTTATTTGGCAATATATATTCATAATATTGTGATATGATCGTAATAATGAGAATTTGAGCCAAAACCTTGATAAACATCCAAGAGTACTGAAATCGTTTTACAACAAATTCCAATAGAAAACCTTATGAAGTGTTTATAAAGGAACTATAAATGTATATAAGATATATTTTGATACTGAATGAAAATTAACCATCTTCCAACAAATATTCAAGGGATATACTTTTAAGATAAGCTACAAAACTAAACAAAACTACATATGTCAAATCAAAATGTAGCAAAGGCTTCACATATGATATGGATAAGAAAAGTTCTATAAAGTCTTTCTACAATGTAAGGAATGAAAGTTGTATTAAATCATTTAATGCACATATAATTCCTATATAGAGCACAGACTACTACTACACAAGTCATACTTAGCACAAAATGTTTGTTGCTTAAGTAGGTGCCCTTATGGAAAATTGTTCCAAAAGGTCAAGTAGGAGTAGTACAAATCACGAAAGAGTTCGAGAAAAGCAACAAATAAACATGGTTCAAATCATGGTTAGTTCACCCTGTGCTAAATGTGCCTCTTCAAAAGGCAAGTGGGATTATAAGAATCTCGAAAAGTTTGAGATCCTTGAATGAGTTAAAGAAAAGTGAATTCGAAAATCTTGAAGAAATTCAAGAAATAATTGAACAAAAGCAACAATATGAGCATGATTCACCTCATGTTACAAATGAAAACACTTGGTTTCATTAAGTGTAATGTGATTAATAACCATGTGTCAAAAGTAGTACATTCCAAGTGCACACTCTTAATTGTAGTTTCTCATTGAAAACTAAACAAAGTTTGTATAAGTTTCAATTATTGTTTAAAAACTCACAGTGATGACTGGCATGTATAAAAATTAGCCAAAAAAATGTGATTTCATATTGACCAAGAGTTCTAAAAGATGATTTTGGAACATGATGGTTATGCAAGTAATAAAAGATGATTTGACAAGTTATAACTCCAAGTAGTTTAAAACCATGGAAATCTTAAATAAATTCTAACTCTGTAAGAAATTGTAAGACACTTGATTAACTTGAAAAAAAAATTGGGTGAGACTCATTATTAGCAAAACAGACAAGAAAGAAAAATGTTTCCTAACCAAAGCAAAGACTTATTAAAGGATTTAACTAATTCATAGTTGTAGGCGTCTTTGGAAGTGCGCCTACGTTAAGCATGTTATGAATATGCTTGGCACTCATAGGAAGTGGGAATTGACATATACGATTAGGAACAAGAAAAGTAGGGAGCCGCCAACAAGTTTTTAAGGCACCTGTAAACCGTTCACAGATCATTTAAGGCAACCACGATTAAGGGACAACAAAAGGCAACAACGATTGACCCGTGAAGGTTACACCGCATTCATAATACATGAGATTACTAACTCGATATGGTTCCGAACCACGAAAGGAGGATCGGGGATGATGGTACAAAGTGAATCATGGAGTCACATTCACCCGTATTGTCCTCTACTCGATTCTTATAGTGAAAAGTAATTCCTGCGATCTCAAAGGCATACAAACAAAATATTCAATTTGCTCCAAACTATTATTATGATAAAAAAGGTTGAATATTAATGAAACATATAATTCTAAAATATCGTGATCACTTGATTAAACAACAAGATAAAAAAGGAACCTTAACCGGTTGTACAAATTATCTTATTAGGTGTGATTTTCAATTACATATTCCCTTTAACATGCAATTTGGTGATCTATAAATAATAAAGTAAGCATTAATATTAGAAGAAATTTAACAATAAATCCAACAATATAAAATAGTTAGAAAAATAATAGAAATAAAAGGAACATAATTCTTACTTTGATTTTGTTTGCTTGCAACTATAAAATAATAAACGAGTTAGTAACTTCAAGGAAAATTAATAAAACAACAATTAAATTAAATTACATTAAATAGAGTTGATTTGGGGCCAAACCCTCAAACAGTTCTACCTTTCACGCCTTGGTTTAAGGATAGAACCTCGAGTAAAGTATGGACTCCTTGGAGTGCTTAAGGAAGGAATTTTGAAAGAAGAAGGGTAGGCTAGTGTTTAGGCTAGAGCATAGAAGAGAGAACAAGTTAGTTAATTGATGCCTCGTACGTCAGAAATGAGGGAGTATTTATAGGGAAAATGAGTAGAAGGAACACCCGGAACCCTAAAATAGATAAAAACCCTAAAAACACTACCGTGACACGGCAAAATATGTCACGGCACGGCAAACAATGAACATTTTTGTGATGCGGGATATTTTGGTGCGACACAGGAAATATCTGACCTGTGGGAGGTAAACGCGTGAAGGGATTACGCGAAAAAGACACGAGAGTGTCCCGTGTCACATCACTGCCACCATGTCACGGGAAATCACACCGAGACGCGACAGTGAGCCCCGTGATGCGGTGCATTTTTCCATGACGCAGCAATTATGCGTCCATTTTTCCGTCTAAATACATTTTTGCCCTAATTTCATTTAGCCTTTTTAAGTGTTAATTGATAATTTCGGGCCATTTCTGATTTATTAATTGGGCCAATTAATAAATAAAATAAATAAATAAATAAATAAAAAGGTTTGGGACAAAATTAAAAATAAACTATGCTTTGACTAAACATCAAGACTGATCCATGGATTATCAAAAAATGTATTTAATTAAATACGATTTTTTAAGCACTCTTAGGATTAAATACCGAACCCGACCAATAATGGCAGTGAAAGATTGTTCATCATCGGGTTTGGTTTCGAGGAGACATTTTTATGTGTCTACAGAAGCCCCCACTTTGACTGAGTTTGTAGAAACATCAGTTACAAAAACGATAGTCAAAGTAGTCGATAGGGACGGAGAATGATTTAAGACGTTATGCGATCCTAAATCACTCCATATACGCCGATAACTGCAGAAAAATGTTAGTTCCACAGATAAAAGAGTAAAGGGATAGAATACGTATCTAACACTAGTGTATCGACGACAAATGAGTTTGGTAGCTTCCTATGCTTGAAGTAATCCACCGAATGACGTTTCGTTGAAACACTTTACATGCCTGAGGAAAGTCGACTGATGAGTTTGGTAGTTTTCTAAGCCTAAAGAAACCTACCGGATGATACTTTCCATGCTTGAGGAAAGTCAACATATGGTTTTGGCGCTTCTCTATGCTTGAAGAAATCAACCGATAATACTTTCCATGCTTGAGGAAAGCCGACTTGGCGGTTTTCTATACTTAAAGAAAAATCCATCGATAATGCTTTCCATGCTTGAGGTAAGCCGACTTGGCAGTTTTCTATACTTGAAGAAAAATCCACCGGTAACGCTTTCCATGCTTGAGGAAAGCTGACTTGGCGGTTTTCTATACTTGAAAAAAATCCACCGATAATATTTTCCATGCTTGAGGAAAACTTACAACTGATATAATCACTCACTTATTTGCTTTGATAGGTGACAACGATCGACAATTTTCCACGCTTGAGGAAAAAACTTGTCGGATGAGATTTGCAAGTGTATGATGGTTCGATTATCTCCGAACATAGGCCGCAGATGATTTACCTTCAAGTCGACTATCCGACCATATAGGTGTTTAAATTATTAAAAATTTGACCCTAATGCTTGTTAGGGGTAAAATGGTAATTTTGGTACCATTAAAATATCAATTAGAATTTTTTGCGTCATTCCGATGAGAAAAAAAATGTCCAAAAGTTGTGGAAAATCATTCCAACTTAGTCAAAGATGCCAAAGTATTCGCTAGGAGCTTTAAACAGCGTGCAGGACACACAGATGGGCCCCGCGTCACGTGGTAAAATCCCGCGACACGGTGGCATGGTCCGTCAGACGGTGGAGAATCCCGTGAAGCGAGTTTTTTCTTTTTTGGCATAATATTGTTGTACATTTAATTTTTTAGTTAATACAAGTATACTAGTTAGTAATAGGTTTAGTGACTGAAATTTTATATATTTTTGGGTAAAGTTATTGTAAAAATATTTTTAAAGAAAAGGACAAGAAAATGTGTCGTCAACTTTGAAAATATAGACAAAAAAAAGCGTCACTAAAGTAAAAGACATTAAAGGTATGAAACTCTGAACATAAAAAAGCGTCGCCAATTGTAAGATTATAGACAAGTAAAAGCGTCGCCAAATTTGAGAAATTGCGCGAACTGTGTGAATTGCGACGCTTAGTACACATTTCGAGACAGTAAAAAGCGTCGATAATTGCAACGCTTTATAGTGTCTAACAAATTTCTCGACTCAGCTTTTTTCGACGCTTTTTTGAAGCGTCGAAAAAATATAATAACGACGCTTTTTGGCGTCGAGAATAGGCCTAAAAAGCGTCCCTAAAACACGGAAATTCTAGTAGTGTTAGTTCGTCATCGAGAAACTAGATACTAGAAATAATTCTATTATTTTTCTAATTTATAGTCTAGGGCTAAAAATTTTGCGTATAACAGAAAATACAACTTGAGGTAGCCGTTAAGCCACTTTTGAATAAATAACTAAATAACTTAAGAAATGATGATAAGTATTTAGATTTTTTTTTTGTAATAGCATGCCTAGACAATGGGATTCCGATCTTTCTACTTCATGGTCGGCGTGAGGCTTTTCGAGAGGATAACCCCACAATTCCTGAGGGCATGGACGAAATTGCCTTAGAGACTGAGCCTCGCCCTTCTATGAGTAAGGGTAGGTGGATTCCACCTCCGTGTACACCAGACTAGTTGGTTTCCTATCGTGAGAACCATATTTCTCACCGTCCACTTACCGGCGTAGTCGATGGCACGCTTCGCCATCATGGATCCGGAGCTGGAGATTTGATTCCCTGGCTATACAGGATTATCACGAGGGATCTAGTCACTAACGCCTTGTGGGAATCTGCTGGTTTAGGAGATTTCTATTCTGTGGTCGTAGAATTTCGCAGCCCCTGGGGTTGTGGCTCGACAGTTGTTTGTGCGTTGTTGGAGTATTTTTTGGGATACTACCAACACTTTTCACTTTGCTTGGGGGAGATGATAGTGACACCTCTGGATTTTAACATGATCAACGACTTACGCTTCATCGAGCGGGTCGTACGGCAGATTCTTGACCTCACTTGGGGAGCGGCTGAGGTAGCAGATTTGTTAGGTCCGGTCTGACATATAAGGACTCGGCCGGTGCCTCGAGGTGGTCCTAAGACCGGGTGGTTAGAGTTGGCTTTTGTTCTTGCCCATGGCTTTGACTTGGCTGAGACGACACCTGAGTAGCGAGTGCGAATCTTTATCATGATTCTCATTTCTTGGACTCTTTCTCATGATAGGAGTTCACGTGTGCTCGTTTTCTATCTTCCTTCTCTTGTTAGGATCGGAGAGATAAGATCCTATATTTAGGCTAGCAATGGATATGCTGATCTACTCTCGTCGTTGCGTCATGTCTGCAGGCAGCTGAATGACTAGGCCCCTGTCGCTGTCTACGGTTTATGAAGAGTTGTAGAGGTGACGATCTTTCTTCTTCTTGTCCTGTTTTAACCAGTTTAACTCATGTTCTTAGAGATTACTTTTCATTGAAGCTGTGGTTCTATGAGTAATTTTTGGGATTGGCCCCTCAACGGCGTCGCGGAGCGATCAATAGATTCCCTGTTAGATCCAGCTGGTGTGACCGAGGCAAGTCATGAGTGGAATTCGTATTTGCGCTGCGTGGGCAGCTGCGCCGAGGCACCTCTTCTGTTTGTGTAAGAATTTATCTTGCAACATGTTATTCTCGACCTTGATGTTATTTTTCGGCATTCATTGTAAATTTTATGGTTTTTAGGTTGCTGTTGAGACCTAGTTGATCGAGGGTAAGAGTAGGTCGTTGGTCTATTAACCCTAACCAAATTAGAAATTTATAATACCTAAACTTACAATAAACTAGTTAGCGGCAAGTAAAGGGTCGAACCACGAAGACTAAGAGATAGAGAGATTAAACTAGTTAGTGTATCAATTTGTGCAAATTAGACTAGTGTAGGAAAGGTTGTGAGATAGAGAGAAATTAAACCAAAAGAAGAAGAGAAGAGAAAGAAAAGAAAAGAGGTGTTGAGAGAGAAGAGAGAAACGAGAAAGCAAAGGAGGAGGGGAATATTTTTGTTTTAATTAGGGTTTTGTGTTTTTTTCTTTCTTTTTTTTAATTCATAAATCCGTCAGAATTACTTTCCATTGGAAATTTTTGAGGGAATTAATTTCCATCAGAAAATATAACATTTCCAACGGAATTTTCGTCGAAAATAAAGAATTTTCCAGCGGATTAAAATTCCTTCGAAATTTGATGGAAATAAAATCCGTCGGAAATTTTGGACTTTCATACGGATTTTTGTGTCCGTTAGAATCGTTCTGTCAGAATTTTTTTCAAGTAGTGCGAGCTAATAAAGACTCCTGGTAGTAACAATAATAACACTTGGAAAAACAAAAAGAACGTCCTTCCTTCTTCTTCGTCTTCTACACACGAAAATACTACAAAAAATGTAAGCCAAGTCGATTTCCATGAAGTGTTAGCTCTTGATGCTACGTTACCTAAAAAAAAGAAGAACTTATACTCCTTTAGGATTGACTTGTGATGCGGCCTTTGATTGCCTTTACGGTCAGGGCTTGATCATACCTATTGAGCCATTTTTAGAGCCAAAACCTGAAAAAAGGAGCGCTAAGTGGAATCCAAATGACCACTGCAAGTTCCATCGAGGAAGAGACCACACTACCGAGCAATGTTGGAATTTGAAGGACGTTATTCAAGATCTAGTTGATGAAAAATTACTATTTGTCCCTCCAAGCGGTAAGAACTAATGAAGACAAGGCGCACGACGCGTCAATCGTGCAAGATTTCATGATTCTTTATTTCCATTCCCCTATTATGTCTAGCATAGGTTTTTCATCGTAGACTCTATTGTGTTTATGTGTTTATTTATTCACCAATTTCATCAATAAAATGAGCAAATTTCCTGTACATCTCGATCATAGAATTTTTCATTCACTCATTACAGAAAATAATTTCCAAACCAAACACAAGGCATCAATGACTTGAGGCACCTTTGCAACTTATTCATTCCGTATTAATAATTTAATCACATATCCATTCATTCGTCAACCACTTTGAGCCTCGTCTAACGATTGGTCTAATTTATTCAACCCACATTCACCAACCCTAGGATGGGAAGGTGAGAAATTTGTGTAACATCCAGAAAGCAAGTTCAAATAAAAAAAACTAATAAGTAAATAAACAACAATGTCTAAAGGAAAGTGTTCCAATTTTTTGGATACAAACGCGTCTCGAATTGTGTATCTCATCGAGTGCTTAGTACCATGCTTGGGAAACATGAATGCAAAGTGAGTGATTGACCGCATGATCCGAGATCGCCTACATTGATTTAAAAAAAATTAAAAAAAAAGAAAAGAAATTCAATACAGAAAAAAAAAATGAAAAATAAAACTTGTAAAGTCTAAAATTTCAAATACACAATTGCATATCTTAGGGGCTTCTCTTGGGTCTTGAGCCTTTTACCCCTTTGTTCCGTAAACCATCAGCTTAACCACATTTCAATCCTTGAAAAACCTCTTTGAGATGTATATACACTTGTGCAACGTTCTGTTAGAGCTACGTTCGGCCTTATTCCTAACGGATACATACGCAACCTCGCATCAAGGTGCGACCACATTCATATTCATATCCACACATGATGATCAAGTCATTTCCAATGCTTATACTTACCCATATAGAGCTAGACTTGGGGGCTTGAACCCACATCACTTAACTTACCCAATCTAAAGAGTCACCATCTCGACTCTTCTCACACGTCTTTCCATCACCATAGCCTTTATAGGCTCACACTAAACAGGGAAATCAAAGACAATCTCCAACGTACCTGATTCCCATTGCCTTAACGTGCTTGTTGTGCTTTACTTGAGGAAAAGGTTTAGTAAGTGGATCGGAAACATTGTCCTCCGTTCCAACTTTACAAATTCTTATTTCACCCTCTGATTTCCATTCTCTAATCTTGTGAAATCGCTGCTCAACAAGTTTGACCTTTTGATGTTCCCTTAGTTCTCTGGCCTGAGCATTAGCCCCATTGTTGTGAAAATAGAGGGCTATTGGACACTTCATAGAGGGTACAACAACAAGTTCACCAACAAACTTACGAATCCAAAGTGCCACCTTAGCCGCTTTAGCAGCTGCCAAGCATTCGGCTACAATTATAGAATCTGCAGTTGTGCTCTACTTAGAACTCTTCCAACTAAATGCTCCTCCATTTAGAAAGAACACATCCAAACCGTGGATTTTAAATCGTCTGTGTCTGTTTGGAAGCTTGCATCGGTATAACCTTCAACAACTAATTCTCTTGAGCCACCATATACTAGGAATTTATCCTTGTTATTTTTCAGGTTCTTTAGGATATTCTTGGCCGCAGTCCAATGAGCCTCTGCTGGGTCTGATTTGTATCGGCTTGTAGCACTCAAGGCATATGATACATCTGGCCTAGTACATATCATAGCATACATGATCGATCCAATTAGCGAATCATATGGGATCTCATTTATCCTTTCTCGCTCGTTAGGTGTCTTTGGACACCGCTTATTGTTCAAAGTTATGCCATGTTACATGGGTAAGTGACCTCTCTTGGCTTCTTCCATCCTGAATCGTGCCGGTACCTTATTAATATAAGTACTTTTGCTCAATATAATCATCCTCTTAGATCTATCCCTATAGATCTTGATGCCTAATATGTACAAAGCCTCTCCCAAGTCTTTTATTGAAAAACATTTTCCAAGCCAGGCCTTTAAAGACTCTAACATCGGAATGCGGTTTCCAATGAGAATTATGTCATTGACATATAAGATTAGGCAGGCGATGTCACTACCACTGACTTTCTTGTAAATAAAAGATTAATCTGGATTTTTTATAAAACAAAACTTACTAATGGCTTCATCGAATCGCATATTCCAACAACTACTAGCTTGCTTCAGCCTGTAGACGGACTTTTTAAGCTTACACACTTACCATCATTGTTTTGGTTGAAAAAACCTTCAGGCTATGTCATATACACTGTTTTTTTCCAAAATTCCATTAAGGAAGGCGGTTTTAACGATAGGAGGATCTGAACGAATTTAAGCATTGCGGCCAGAGATAAGGTTTCATCGTAATCGATACCATGAATTTGCCTATAACCTTTTACTACCAATCTAGCTTTGTAAGTGAATACATTTCCATCTTTGTCAGTTTTCAATTTGAAAATCCACTTACATACAATAGGTATGTAACCCTCGGGTAAGTCAACCAAGTCCCATACTTGATTTTCCAACATGGCCTCTTGCCATTTAGCAAAAAGTTATAGCCTCTTACCATTTAGCAGAGTTGGTGCTCGCCATCACTTGTTTGTAGGTTGCCGGTTCATCTCCATCCATTACAAGGATGTCCTGATTCTCGATTAATACAATACCAAGATACCATGAGGTTGAGACCTCGACCTCTGCGACTTACGCAGGGTAACGAACTGAGCATTTACATTGTTGGTTTGACTTTGCACATTTTTACCGGCGGTAACAGATGTTGTTTGAGCACTTTGACTGTCAATCTGAATTTTGTTGCTCGTCCTCTCGAACTTCGTCGAGTTTGATTTTCCTCCCACTTGTCATTTGGAAAGGTGTTCCTTCTTCAAAAAGACACCATCTCGAGCAACAAACACTTTGTTCTCGGATTTACTGTAGAAGTAATACCCTTTGGTTTCTTTAGGGTAGCTCACAAAGAAAACCTTATCAGATTTGGGGTGAAGTTTATCAGAAATTAATTTCTTGACATATGTTTCCCATCCCTAAATCTTTATAAAAGACAACCTAGGAGATTTCTTCTTCCATAGCTCGTATGGAGTATTTTACACAGCTTTTGATGGAGCACGATTCAGTGTTAGTGCTGCAATTAGAAGTGTGTGTCCCCAGTAAGATATAGGAAGATCACTAAGACCCATTGTTTATCGTACCATGTCTAACAAGGTTTGATTTCTCCTTTAAAAAACTCTGTTCCATTGTGGAGTTCCAAGAGGTGTCAATTCTTAAAGTATACCCTTTTCTTTCAGATGTTCATCGAATTCTTAACTCAAGTATTCACCACCTCGATCTAATCCAAGGGCTTTGATTTCTTGCCAAGGTGATTTTAAACTTCACTCTGAAACTCTTTGAACTTTTCAAATCATTCAAATTTATGAGACATAAGGTAGACATAGTCATATACACTATATTCGTCTGTTAATGTCAGATAATATCGATGCCCGTATCTTGTGGTGGAGCTCTATGGTCCACTTACATCTGTGTGTATTAGGCCCAACAAGTCACCTGCCCTTTCTCCTAATTTAGAGAATGGCTGCTTTGTCATCTTTCCTAATAAACATCCTTTGCAATTCTTAAACGATTGTAAATCGAATGAGTAAAGAACACCTTCCCAAACAAATTTCTTGATGCGGTTGATGTTAATGTGGACAAGACGACAATGCCACAAGTACGTCTTATTTTACTCAATGATCTTAGCTTTCTTGGTGGTATTATTAACATTATAAACTTATTTTTCTTATGAAAGCATACATTTTAGCCAAACATGTCATACCATATAAACAAGACTTTTAAAAAAATAGTCTCGTGATCAAAACAAAACATGACATCCAATGTCAAAAGATCAATGTATAGTTGATAACAAAAACTTAAACAAGTTCTAAGTTAAGACAAACTATGTGATTACAAGCTCTCCGGAATGATTAACTTCTTCTTTCGCTTGTATATCCACATCCATTTGGTAAGCCCTTCCCACTTGGTTCTTGAGGTAGAAATTTCTCTTCCCTCTGCCTCATCTTCCTAAGAACATGTTGCATTCTCTTCTGTAGTGGCCCCGCCAACTACAGTTAAGCATAACATCCTTGCCTTGTTCTTGAACTCCTTCTTCATTGCCTTTAGAGAAAGCTTGAGTATATCACTTCCACAAGGGTCATCCCATTGAAGCTCATTCATAACCTCCATGAAAGAGAGTTTGTCAGGATTGGCAGTTAGCCGCATATTCTATGTGATATAGCCTGAGTGGAGAGAACTCAATAGCATGAGAGCAGCTTACTCATCCTCCACTGGCTTTCCAATGAGCGTCATTGAATAGCCTTATCATTTAAAGCACATGGACTCAAAGAGACATCCCAGTTCTTAGTCTAGCATTGTAGACCTGATCCCATACCTGTTGCCTCTCCTTGGCTAGGAACCCTTCTTGCGGTGGCTTGATCTTCATGTTGGAGAGTGACCTAGTCACTTCCTCCACGATGCCATCATAGTTGCCATTGATTCTCTTGGTGACCCTCTAATTGACTATATCCTCTAGAGCTTTGAGGAGCATGTCAGGAAAATACTTAGAGAACTTCCCCTTCCATTATTCTAAGATGGATTTTCCATAAGTCGTGAGACTCATTTTAAATCACAAATCCCCGGCCTCTTCATGAGCCTCATCTCTCATAACCCCTTTTGAGTAGAAACTCCGGATGGGTATGTAAAGAATGTGCTCTAGGTAGCAATTTCGAAGGGTCTTTTGGAGTTCTTCTTCCCACTCTTTAAAGTTCACAAAGTTCAAGCAAAATGGTAACTTTTCGGGATATTTCGGGCACATTAGGTTGTTGTCATTGTTAGTTGAAGACATGATTCTACAATTGAAAGAATTTGAAATGAAAAACCATTCATAATACTTAATTAAATACCATTGAAATCATGTATATTAATCAAACTTAGTAAACCTTTTATTCACACATTAAATTGTCCCCATTTGGTGAGAATAAGTCGATTCAAAGATCAAAAGAAGGAATTAATAGTTAAGCATGCTTTGGCTTTGTCTTAACACTCAATATTCTAAGCCCTACTACCAAAAACCCTAATCGAGTCGCCTCTAAAACATCTTACACATCGCTTCAAGGGCGACACTATAGGTACCAACACTATAGGGTACCCCCTTAACTGTCGCCTATAACGTGATGTGTTAGGTTGGTTTATACATCGCTTTTTTCACACAGGTGACGCGATAGGTTGGTAATGAGTCGCCTTTTTCATTACTGGTGACTCGTTAAGGTTGTTTATGAGTTGCCTTTTTCATTACAGGTGATTCATTAGGTTATTTTACGAGTCACCTTTTTCATTACAGGTGACGCGTTAGGTAGATTTATGAGTCAACTTTTTCATTATAGGCGATGCGTTAGATGCTTTTATAAGTCCCCTTCTTTAAAAGAGGCGATGCGTAAAGTAACTTTATGAAAATTGTAATTCTTCAAAGGTGATGTGGAAATTTTTTTTTTCCTCCTTAAATTCACACTTAGCTTTCTACTGTATATATTTACAACCTATGTAGGACTTGAACCTAAATCTATGTGAAATAGCACATTGCTCTACCATTTGAGCTAATAGGCTTTCAAAAACTTCAATGGCAATACTTCTAGTAATCTGCCATAAAAATATGAACAATCACCTATATGTAGAATCTATTCACCGAACTATCAAAGCCTTCAATCTCGAGGAGAATATGAGTCTTGAGTCTCCTACTTGTTTCATGCCCACCTTGTGATTTGTCTTGTCATAAAATAAACTTTTATAAAATTAAATTTCTCAGCAATAGAAAAATTAATGACTCGGTAGGAGATGAATTAATTCATCTTCAAAATTATAATTAAATATGTGGTTACATAAACCCCATGAATGTCATACATACATTGAGGCAAATATTTGCTTCTGCAGTAAAGTCCATATATAGAAGAAATAAAAACAATAAAATCCCTCTTCCTTCATAGCTTAACATAAAATTAAGAATTTCTTCATACTTTCCTTCTTGTAAATTGAACAATCACATAGATAAGGAAAGACATTATAATTAGTGCAAGTCATCAAGTGAAATCTTAAACAACAGCCCCTACCTATCCTATAATTATTGCATTTCACCGAACATCAATTTAATGGCTTGTTCTAATAAACTAACCATATTGTTAAGGGCAGACATTATATTATACAACAATAGTCTTCCAAGATTACTAGATAGTTTTTCTCACGTTTTCTATGTACTGAGACAAAGACCTATTCTAAGTCTTTAACATGGATTTTTTAACGGTTACTAATTTTTTTAATAAGGAGACAACCCTAGAAAATTGGCACAGCTTAGCCAGCAGACTTGGCACAACTACACAAATGGAATCCCCACTGCAGTATAAGTAACGGTGAGGCTTGAAATGTGACCTTTGTTTAGTTTCTCATTATCTCTACAGTTTAGTCTAGACTTTTGGATGATAAGAAAAATTAAGAAATGAAAAACATATCAAATTGGCATACTAGAATGTCCACAATAAAGAGAGAAAATAGAGAAGATATGTACAAATAAAAATTCAAGGACTCATAGGATATGGTATAGTAGTGTCACATTAAATTCTCCGGAAGCCAATTTCCCAACAACCAACTAGAAAAGCAATAACTTTACAATATTAGACTTCTTTACTCTTATAATCCAAACAAAAGAAACCAGCAGCAATACAAAAAAAATAATTTAGCAAAGTATATCAAATATCATCTCCAAGGCAATTAAAGTGACATAATTTCATTAAAATAGTGAACTGCACCTGAAGAGTAAGCTTTCAAAAGCAGAGCAAATGCAAGGAAATTATTTCATATCCTTAATTCATACTCCATCTAGCACACCCAAGCCCCATTATTAAGTAATGGTGTAGATGTACCGGTCAAAATCTCAGAATAAATACAGCTGAAGTAAAATATAAACAGTAGACATACATACCTGAAACATGTCAGGTCCTTTCACAAATTCTATGATAGCATTGGTGGCATGTTCTCTGGCCTCACTCAAAGCTTGTTCATCCTCAGTAGAAAAAAGTTACCAAATACTTCGAGAGGAAATTAAATGATTCCTTTCCTGAGGTGAAAGTACAAAATTTCAGCACCATTATGAAATATTTATACAAGAATAACACATGTGGTAGTGGCAGAGGGGAGGGGGTAAGATAAAATACCCTTTGCTAGTTTGCTATCTTTCAAAACGTTGAAAATTGCAAGAAAAAGCTCTCTCTCTAATCTTGGATGCTAAGATTCCATTCACTCAAGAAACTGTTAATTTTCTTGATGGAAGGTACAACATGCTATGTAATTTTACCAATGGTAGCCAGGTTGAGGGCCTTCAAGTAAACATAGAAACGGTTGTATGCGTGTTCAAGAAGGTTATAAAGATAGAACAATCTGGAGGTAAACACTCTAAATTAGAACGTCTGACCAAATTTACAAGCAAAAGGGAAAAGGAGTTGAAAAAAAACAAGAGATATGTACATCTTCAGTCGCAGACAGGCTTCTCATTTGGTTGTTGAACAACTTTAGCAAAAATAAGTTTCACGATCTCCAAAACCTCTTCGGGGTTTTCAAACTCTGTGACAAGGTTGAAAATTACGGTGTAGATGCACTCAATATTTGAGGTAAAAGGAGATTATAAGTAACTTAGTACATGAAAACATATCCTACTCAATGAAATCAATGAAAAGGGGGTTTATTGAGATGGGGAGGGATCACTAGCTCATTGCTGTTAAATTCAGTCAGCAGTCTCTTAAAAGAAAACCCTCACAATAGTAAAATTCAATAAACCATTTATACCAGAGTGCATCAGTCATCGACAATCATCAACAATATAATGCGGGATTTCTCGCATTTCTAACCATAAAAGAGGGCTTAGAAATGCTACACAAGCATAAATAAACAACATCGCCAAACTAAAAATTCAAAAAAAAAAAAAAAATTCAAAAAAAAAAAAAAAACTAAAAATTGATAAATTAATACTGAAAAGGGGAAATGACGAGAAATTGAAGAAAGTCATCGTCGTCGATGTAGTCAAAGAGGAGAGAGAAAGTGAAGATGAAGTGATGAATTAGAGAGAGAAATGCGGAATTTGAAAAGGATTTTTGTCTCTCCTCCTTTGTTGATCATTTTTAGGTGAGAAAGAGGAATGAAAGATTGAAGAAGATAAATTGATCTACTGCTAAAAACAGAGACAAGTAGGAGGTGGTAGTCCTTGTCGGTGAAATGCGATGAGAGGAAGGAATAAAAACACCAAGGGATCGGAATGAACGAGGAAGAAGAGGAGAGGGTGGAACAAAAAAAGACAAGGGAATGAATGAATGAGGATTCTAGGGTTTTTGTTTTAAGCTGCTTTCTTAACATGGCAAAGGACCAAAGGTGTCCCCTGTTATAATGCAGGACTAGAGGCGACTAATAAAGTAATACTTTATGAGTCACACATAATAAATGATGGGATGTGTATAGTATATGTGTCGGCTATTATAGAGTAGGTGATGCATATGCCTTTCAATTAAATTTTAGATGGTTTTTCACAAGCTTTATGTGTCACATACTTTGTAAGAGGCGACTCAAAAACTATACGCATCACCTGTTAATTTGAGGCGACTCCGTAGGGTGTTTTTGTAGTAGTGAAGGTAAGCAACTCTTTGCTAATTGCTCTAAGCCACTCTTGGTAGATAAATCGTCGTATCTAATGCTCTTTCAATAGCTTATCCACTTTACCGCGATATGTTAGGACTACATAACTCATATCGTTAAGTATAACCAAAATCAACATGCATACCTGGTATACCTTACGTATCCTAGGGAGAGATAGTGATGGCTCGCTTTGGCGTAGCCCATCACTACTCTCAATAGGTCGGTAAGTGCTGTTTTGGAATGACAAATTTTACTCAATATTTTAGGGACCTAGGGTTTCTATATGGTTGTTGATTTAAGTGAACTTAATAAATCATCGCAACATTCGAAATTCTAAACACGCATCTAACATATAATTCATATATATAATCGGTAATACATATCGAAAACATAAATAAATGATGAATTTGGCAACTAGCATGAGTCCTTAAGTCTTCAAGTCTTCAAGGGTCGTCTTTTGCAATATCATGGCTTCGTCTTCCGAGAACCTCCGTCTTCAAGACATAACCAAAATAATGCAAGTTCTAGTATCTACGATTATGAATAACCTAAATATTAAGGCACAAAATACTCAAGGGCACGCAGACCGTATTATGATTTACAAAAGTACATGACATAACACAATCCATATTTTCTATCTTAATCGGGCCCTACTAGTTGCCATTTTTATAAAACCTGCGGGAGAATGTACATTCCATTCATCCATTCACTATTTGTGTTGGCCCATGCATTTTACAATGATAAAGAAAGTAATAATGCATAAATCCCCAAGCATGCACTCGGCTAGCCGGGCTGCGCTAAGCTTTCGAGGCTGATGGGTGCCTCGAGGCAACAACAGGTGTGTGCTGTGCGCGTCATGTGTGATGCATGTGTGCGTGCGATTGTGTGGGAAAGAGCATAAGCCCACACAGCAGTAAGCCCTCCAGAGGCCTTCACGAGCCAAACGTCGTGAGCACGCCTCGTAGGCAGCATTACGTGCCTTGCGGTGCTGAAGGCTATGAGGTGACGCTTGGCGTGGCCGTGGCTATGCGGGGAGCCCATGCAAAAGCACCCAAGGCATCGGTTCTTAGAATTAGTACAGATACCTACTTTTGCCTCTTGTCCTGATAGGATGTGGGGTTATATTACAAAATCCCGCTCGTTATGATAGATAAAGTTGATGTATGGATTATGAAATGCATTAAGAAGTAATTTAAAACACATTTTTGAGACCAAGTTTTCTTAGAGCCTTTTCTGATTACTAATTAGGCCTAAAACTTGCTCACACATGTTTAAACTTTATTAATAACGAACCTAAATGCGTTAAATACAATGTTTAGATCCAATGGATCTAACACAGTTAAAAATCGAGCCAATTAGATAAACCAACGATCAAATTTCTATGAAAGGACAATAAAGATGAAGCCCTTTCATAGAGTTTTCCAACGGTATATTATAAGCCCAATTCAAACTTAAAATGAAGAAGTTATGATCAAAACAGTAAATCGAGCCCTAAAACCGACACCCTTGCACTCGAAAGGCCATATCTTTTGATCCATAACATATTTTAACCTAATTTTTAGGGCATTAGAAAGTAGACATTCAGAGCTTTCCAATGATATCTTAAGTAGACATTTGGAGCTTTCCAATGATATATTACATGCCTTAATCCGACTTCGCAATCAAAAGTTATGGAAGTTTTAAAAATGCACTTTCGTATAAGGCAATGTGCACCGAGCACAACTCAGTGAGTTGCGCGCGCCTTGCATGCGCAAGTCAATGATATGCGTGCAGCACCCAACGTGAATCAGAGAGTTGCACGCACCACCTAATAGCACTGCTCTAAAACCCTAAACCTAGATTCCTACGCCTATAAATAGGGTTCTTGGTTCAACCCTAAAGGGGACGGAAAAATGAGAATTCTAATTTTAGTATTCTCAAAACCCTAATCTGTCAAGTTCTCCTACAATCATAATAATTTTCTTCTCTCTTCCCAAATACTTACCAACTCTAATTTAAAACATGGAAATCCTTGGAGGTACGAAGAAGAAAGAAAGTCCATTAACACATTAAACGAAGATTTAACATAAAAGATGAACGGTTAGTTTCTTGAGCACACAGATAAATCACTTTTTTTTATTGTTTAAATAACTTCAATTGAATAAATAGTGTTGTTTGACCACTTTAAACAAAATTTTAAATAATTTAATTCACATAGTATTCTTGTTTGAATAATGACTAGAATTTGAATAAATAATTGATTGTTTTATCACTTAAGTCAAGACAAACATTGTTTATTTCTTGTTCTTTTAACGAATTTGAATAACAAAAGAACAATGAATTTTGCAATGTAATTCCTACATGATTAGTGCTTGTAAATAAAATCAACTAAATTAGTTTTAGGAGCCACGTTGCATATATTGTTTGATGATGAAATTATGAAAAAGGACGAGCTAGTAGAGGCAACACTAGGGCTAGAATAACGTTTCCTCCCTAAAAAAGAACGTTATTGTTTTACCCTCGCTCCTGAACACATTTCTAGTACATTTAGACTAATTTGGGCATGGGGTAAACTTATGATTCATGTTCCTTGAACTCTACTTGGGAGAATGGAATGAACGAGATTTATGATTTTTCTTAAAACTCATTGGAAAACCCTTACTAGTTTCTTACAAAAAAGCATGATGATAGGATAAACTCTAATTGAAAATGTGGATGTTAGTGAAGTGCTCCCATAGTAAGTTTCTTATTATATTTATTTCACTACTCATTTTTATTTTGTTATACACATATTTATATTTTCGCTCAAAATTCATATTACTTTTGGATGGTGCACAAGCTTTTCGTTCACTTTTAATTTTCCATGTCTAATTTTATTATTGATTAATTATTTTGGCTTTTTTTTTCTTTTTTTTTTTCTTTTTTTTTTTATTTTTTTTGGGTAGGATATCAGTGGACTTCAATTTGGGAAAGCTCTTCTTGTCAAGTTTTTTCTTTTTTTTCTTTTTTTTTATTTTTTTTGGGTAGGATATCAGTGGACTTCAATTTGGGAAAGCTCTTCTTGTCAAGTTATGTTTGTATTTTAAATACTATAATTATTATTGCAATTTTAGTCATTAAGGACATACGGTGGTATTGTTGAAATACTAATTAGAAGTTACTTTTTATTGTTGTATCATCATATTTTTTATAATTTGGGACAAGTATTTGCTTGTTTGTAGCAAAATTTTATCATGTAACTTAATTTTTATTTATGTTATATTTAGAATTATGCTTGTTTTTTCTAATGTTTTATGCACTAATAATCCAATATGATTTAGGAAATAAAGTTTATTAGGGATAATACAAAAATTTATAGGTATATTTAACAATTAAAAAAAAAGTATTCGGAACCATTCGGAGGTCCGAATATATGGATCGAATTCGGACCATGAAACTATGATTCTGATCGGATTCGGATTCGGATTCGGAGTTTTCATATTCAGATTCCGACTCGGATCCAAATTCAGGGTTCGTTTACAAAATGGATCGAATTCGGACTTTGGTGCATCCGACCCGAAGCTGATTCGTTGCCATTGCTAGTTAGTATCATGCCTAGGATCTCGCTATTATTTTTCTTTATTGAGATTGTGATGATGATGATTGTTATGATTATGTTTCTTGATATATTATACGGTTATTGCTTGATCACGCCCTCTTATGCATGTTTAAAGGGTATTTGTACTTATAATCACGCTTAATAAGATAATTAATAATCTTGTTTAGGATAATTTGATTATAATTCAAGTGATCGCCAATAATAGATTTGTTTGTGCATTAAAATTCAACCTAAATAGATTAAACATGTTTAGGGTTAATCTATTGATTGTAAGTTAGTCAGAAAATGCACATTAATACGAGAAGAATAAAGTAGTGGCATATTTTTAGGGCAGGTTCAATATTTTTTAGGTTAGATTTGTACCTTCATCCCCGAATATCCAGTCATGGTTTCAGACCACTACGGAGTTAGCGATCTCATGGATCTTGAAGGGGTGTAACTTTCACCCTGTGAACAATTTACAAGTTCCTAAAATTTGTTGGAGACTCTATTGCTCTAGCTTTCTTCCCTTCTAACGTCACCATGTTTAAGTGTATGATCACAATGGGCTGCATAGTGTGGGATGCTTGAGATATTCCCTACATGGAGCAACTTCATCTTACCACAAACAAATAAAATCCGGCTTCAAGGCTCCAAAAGGTCTAAACAGCTACCTTAGCATACCCTATCCTAGAATCAACTAAAGATATTCTCAAAACATGCACACCGATACGACATAGGAAGTTATTCATTCAAATGCAAAAGCTCGGATGTTATTATGTCCAAATACAAAAGCTAAACATTTAAAAAGAAAACAAAGCCTTAAAACTTTTTGTCTTTTTATAATTGGAAGAAAAATAGGAAAAAAAGAAACGAAAGAAAGAGAAAGGAAAGGAAAAGAAAAAGAAAATCACAAGAATGCATGCAAGACATGTAAAACTCAATCGACAGATAAGTGGTCATTTAGCAACATCACCAATGATATAACCCAAAACACTCGAAGGTGTTACAAGGAAAACATCCTCGAACAATAAGCTCATCCTAGACTAAATATATTCTAAGAAAACAAGAAGGGAAAAAAGAAAGAAGAAATAGAAAGATCTCACCGAGTACTTTAAGCAAAGTTAATGAATAGAAACACAAAGAAACATAAACCTTTTTTTTTTGGAAAATAAGATTTTATTACCAAAGAAAGAAAGTAACAACTTA